GTGTACACTACTACACTGGGCTAAGGCCAGTATTTTTATTTAATTATTTTTATTTTTTTAGTTGTAGATGAACACAATACCTTTATTTTATTTGTTTTTATTTTTTTATGCAGTGCCAGAAATTGAACCCATTGCATGATAGGTAAGCGCTCTACCACTGAGCCACAATCCCGGCTCGAGGCTAGTACTTTTTTTTAAAGGAAAAAAACTTCAGCTATTTCATTTGTAAATATAGTTGCAAACATAAAAATCCCCTTCTAAAATATCAATTAATTAAATTCAACAGTGTGGTAACATCATGACCAAGTCAGGTTTGTACCAAGAATACAGGGTGGTTTACTATTAGGAAATCTGTATCATTCTCTACATTAACAGATAAAGGAGAAAACTCACAAGATCTCTGTAGATAAAGGAGAAGGATTGAATAAAATCAACACTCATTTTATCAAAAACACTCTTAGTGAACTGGCATTAGAAAGGAACTTAGCCTGATAATGAATATGTACCAAAAACTCACAATAAACATCATACTAACATGGGCGTTTCTCGTGTAAGTGCGTAAAGATTATTAATATATCCTTTAAATCAGACACACAGAATTTGAAAATCAGGAGTACTGTATAAATCCTTTTCAGAAGTAAAATTAGAAGTAGTGGAGTGTAAAAATGGCTTCTAGCCTGGGGTGGTGGCACACCCCTGTGATCCTGGCTACTCAGAAGACTGAGGTGGAGGATCATAAGTCCAAGGACACGGTGGACAACTTAACCAGATAACCTCAAAATAAAAACTTAAAAGGCTAGGGATGGAGCTCAATGGTGGAGTACTCACCTAGCACATGGGAGACCCTGGGTTTAATCCCTAGTATAGTTTAAAAAAAAAAAGAAAGAGAATATAAAAGCCATAGCCCTTCTACACTGGCATTGTGGGAGAAACTTTGATAATTGTGTGACACATGAACCACTTCATCTCTTACCAGGGCCAAGTAGCCATTCTTCTGTTGAAGTCTGGTCAGACATATGGACTGTGCCTTCTATCAGTGATCAGCCATCCAAAACCCAGAGACTGAGATCTAATGCCTTGCGGGGGGAACACCTGTCTTTAAACCTTTGTGTTTTGTACAGCACATTCTTTATAGTTGTAGTTATTAAAAAAAAAAAACTTGCAAAACAGTTTATATTTGTGCTTATTTTCTATTTCATACTTCTCTGCCCCACATTTTCACTCCTCAAAATTCATTCCTTTAAAAAATAAATTTGTGCTAGGTGCTATGGCACACACCTATAATCCCAGCAACTCTGGTGGCTGAGTCAGGAGGAATCCAAGTTTGAGGCCAGAGTGGACAACTTAGTGAGAACCTGTGTCAAAATAAAATATAAAAGGGTTGGGGAGGTGGCTCAGTAACAAAGCATCTCTGGGTTCAATCCCCAGTATAATATGTGTGTGAGTGTGTGTGTTTGCATGTGTGTAGTGTCTGTGTGTTGTGTACGTATAGAGCCTGAACATGGGAAGAGCCTGAACCTGGGGATAAGGAGGGAATGGACAAATGACATAAATGTGAATCACAGTGGTGTTCTACCTACCCACTTGAATTTCTCAATGAGTACACTGGTATTCATGGTATTAATTTTGGTGGGTACTGGGAATTAAACCCTGGGGCTCTTTACAACTGAGCTTCACACACAGTCTTTTTTTCTTTTTCTTTTTTGAGATAGGGTCTCAGTAAATTACTCAGGGATTTGCCAAGTTGCTGAGGCTGGCCTTGAACTTGCAATCCTCCACGGTGCACCACTGTGTCTGGCTCATGGTATTAACTGAAAAGTTATAAATATATATGAATTTTTAAAAGAGGATCATGCAAGAATCAGTGGTGACTGTGTGTGTTGTTAACCAGAGATTATCCATTCTGTGGACCTTTGAAGTCGCCTCTTCAAAATACTGAACTGACTTTTCTAATCAGGGCCAGCCACGTGGGAAACTGAAATGAGTGGGAGGGGTGGAAACTCTATTTTCACTTTTCTCTTCCTGTTTTTTCAGTGCCTGGGAAGGCAAGTCAGAATTTCCAATCTTTTCCAATTCCCACATGGTTTCCTAATTTAGAACAAATTCGGAGAAAATAAGCTTTTCTCCGCCTGGAGAAGCCTCCACTGCCTGCTGTGGAGCATCTTCACTTTGGGTTGAGGAGGCGGCCTGGGATGGGGATGCTCCAGCCCAAATCTCCATCCTCAACCCGAACATATGCCCTGGGCCTTGACAATACCCGCACCCTGGAGTTACAAGACCGTTAACTACTGGAAAAGATTCTGACGTTGGAGCCTGGGCCCTAATGGGAGGACCTGGGAAGGTGCATACGGGACATGACCCTGCGGGTTCAAGAGGCCTCATGGACCCTGGGACCTTCTGAGACACAGGCACTAGGCTCTGAGATTTACTTTGGGGGGCCCATTCCCTTCCCCCCCGAGGGCTCGCAGTTTGGCGGCATCCTAAATGGGCGCTTTAGAGAGATAGGTGACAATCCCTCGGTCTGCTTGTCTGCGTCTGCGGCAGCAGATGTGTCCCAGAACCTCGATCGCCCGATGCAGGCGAAGCCCCACCATCCATGCACCGTCCTCAGCGGCATCTGGATTGAAAAAAATAGGGAATCCAAAGTGCTTCGAAGGCAACAACAACCAGATCGCACCTGGACGGTTAGAAAAGCCATGTAGAGTCGAGCCTTCCGATCTTTCGGGCGCTGCAGGCCAGGGCCTTTCCCCGCGCAGGGCGGGCGGCCGCAGCAAGCAGCCCTGGCTCTGCTCCAGATGGGCCCGGGATGACATCACCAAACTCCTCGGATCAGCCGTGGGGGGGGGGAGCCGAAATCCCCTAAAAACATAGTGAGTAATCGGAGGGCCCGCCCTCCAGGCGGGGCGGAGACCTAACAACGAGCTGAGCCTGCCCCCGTGCCAGCCAGGGGAGCGGCCTCCAGGCAGGCAGCGTCGAGGAGAGTAGCTTCTTCGTCCCCTACGCGGCAAGCACTTGTTTCGCGTCCCCGGCGGCGGCGGCGCGCGCGGGGCCTCTTCGTCCTCCGCGCAGGGTGCACTTGCTCTCGGCCCCTTCAGCTATTTCATTTGTAAATATAGTTGCAAAC